CACTGATACAACAGAGCCTCCACCACGTTGGGGTCTACAGGTGCAACTGTGATATAAGGCACTGCCGAAGCATAATTTCTGTGGGTTGTTGAGCCCTGTTTCAGACAGAGACGTACAGATAGAAGAGATAAAATCTGCTTGCAGATTGTGAGGTCTGTGGTTCACATGTGGTTATGTGATATGCTGATAGAGGAATGAGATGGTTTTTGTGCAGGCAGATTTACTGACCTGGTTATTTAAATTGGTGCTGTCAGTGTTTTTATTAATCACTTCTCTTGTGCCTGGAAACGATGTAGGTACCGATGAAAAAAGAAGGCTGGGTCCAGTCTGCGTTGCCAGCACTGTGGCATCGAAGTGACATGGCCACACAGCACATGCACACGCCGTTATTACACTGGCAACTGGAGACGTGAACTTTTTTTGGATGGCAGTTCTGTCGTTTCCAAAGATGGGATTTGACAGTTGTCCCAGATCCTTCCTCCCCAGAGGCTGATGTGGTTGTAGGGCTGTTTTTCCTTCTTGATGCCACTGGGCAGTATTATGTGATAAGGGAAATAATTAGGGAGCTGCAGATGATCTTATTTGTGCTCATGAGAGAGGATGGTGCTGACTATGTTTGGTCTTATCTTGCTGCCTTCAGGACCTGCCAGGACAATATTTGAATTTGCCCCCAAGGAGAGTGTTTTGCGCTGCCACCTCTGGGCACCATCTCTTACTCAGGATCCATCTGTCTCAGACTTGTTTTGTTTTTAGAAACCAATGTGGACTTACTGCAGCCAAACTCCTGGATCTTATTTGGTGTTCCTCCCGTCTAGCTTTGTCCTTTGTTCCTTCTCTTTCCAAATTACCTTGCCACAGTGCTGCAAAAGCTTTTCTGAGTTGCTCCTGCCACCAGGGACTGCCATCAATATCTCTCACTGCTTCTCTGTCCTTATGGCCACGAGCTCCCAGGCGTGCGGGCAGCCTTGCACAGGCAGAGCATCCCATGCCACTCCTGAGGAGTGCCTGGGGTGCACCCCCTTCAGGTGCTGGCTTTGGTGGTGAGCCAAAGCAGGTCAGATCTCCTTCGCAAGCCCCTCACCCTCCTCCTGCCCCAGTAACAGCTGGCTGCCTGTGCAAAGTGATTCTTCATGCATGCTGATGCTGACAAGGGACCCCAGAGGTTTACAGGGAGCGCTCCAGTTGGGCTTCCTGCCAGCTCCATTGTAACCCCAAACGACAGAAGTGTCTCCTGGTAGAGGAGATGGGGATGTGAATGGAAAGGGGTGAAGTATTCCTGCAATGCATGCTGTCTTTTGTTGTTACTTAGACTTCTTGCTTAGTTAGGTCAACTTGAATCACTTTATTGTTCTTTTTAACAAGCTGCCATATGTCTTCACTTCTCCAGCAAAGGAGTGTTTTGGAGCCCTGGTTTGGTTTCATGGGAGAGGGGTGTGTGGGGAACGTGCCTGTGGGAGTGGAAGGAAGCTGTGCCATTGTGCCACTTAACGCTTGACCTTATTGCCACACAGACAGCTGTTGGTTAGGTCCCTTCTGGTATTGCAAACAGGTTGATGTCTTGGATGACTTTCTACGGAGATAAAGGTGGCGATTTGTAGGACTGACTGCCTGCCGGCAAAGCTGCGGTCCCTTCAGCAGTAGCACAGGGACCTGCAAGGGTTTGAATTGCTCTGGACAGAAATGCCACGAGGCAGCCAAGGATGGCTGCTGGGGGCACATGACTGACCTCATCCTCAAACCAGTATTTCCTTGTCTGGGGTATCTTGGCCTGGGTGGTAGAGTGCTGATTTTGGGGGTAGTTTCTGGCTTTTTAGGTTATTTTTGTTGTCTGTTTTCTTTTTTCTTTTTTTTTTCTTCTAGTCCTTATAACAAACTCTTACACTGCCTCTTCAAGTGGTATAATTAAATTGCGAGAACCGGAGTCCTAATTACCCTCTCCCATGTGAGAGTTGAGGAGCTCATCTTCAGAGAGAGGCTGTTGGCTGAGATCCAACAGAGACAAATCTCTGAGCAGAGACTGCATCTGTGTTGATATTTACTGTTATTAAGGATAATGGTCATTACCAAGTGATATCAGAGCAGGTTGCTCTTTGCAGGTTATTTTCGTCTGACTGTAAGTGAAAGCAGAAGGAAAAGCAGAGCGGGTCCATCTCTGCCATTTCTGTACGTCTTATTTTCTGCTTTTTCCAAAGAATCATTAGTATAGCATCTGAGCTGGTGGGTCTGGCATGTGCAAAAAATCTTCACTGATGCATGAAAAAACTACTGATACCTATTTAGACACGTCCTATTCTGGGAATTTGCTCCTCTTCCATCCCTTGCATCAGTGCAGATAGCTTGCATAAACAGACTAAACTCCCAATGCAGCGGTGCAGAGAATCTGCCCACTAAATGGTAAGAGATATATTGGAGCAAAGTGCTGCTTTCTTTGCTGTGATAATGGATGTGCATTCAAGCAGCTATGTGAATCTTTACAAATGGAGCAATCCTGAAAGCAGGGCAGGCTTAGATCCTGTTTCTTTCCAATGAAACAGCTGTTCTTATCTTTCTTTTTTTTAATAGAAACTCATGCAAACAGAAAATGAATTGGTAGGAGTTGGAGTGGTAGGAGTTGCTAGCTGCTTGCTCACCGGTACATCTCAGTAGTAATGTTTTCTTGCTTTTTTCAACTATAAACCTTGCAGAACTTTTCTAAGATGAGTATCCGGATTGCTAAATGACACATAAGGAACAATTATAATTTTTTCCCCACGTGGTTTGAAGTTGCACCAAATCGATGGCAGAACTGGCAGCAGAATTGTCTTGATACCCATTTTGGTCCTCTACTGATTCCAGAACAATTGTCTGCACTTATTGGGGTTTGGCAGACCCTGTTGCTGGAGGTAGGTTTTGGCGGTACACTTGTTCACCTCAACCACCTAACATTTGTCTTGGCAGGACTGAGATGGCCGCAAATACATGTGTATCCTGGAAACATTTGGGAGTGTCTAGAAGGGCATTTACAAATGTTGACTGTGATGCAGGCTGACTTTGCTTAGCTGTCTGGCAGTCAGCTCCAGCAGGGATGGAAGGGCTTCTCCGTGCCTCTGGATCTGTGTGGGGTAGGACAGGAGGATGCTCTGAAACTGGTCCCTCCTCCTGAGATTCCCTGACCTTTTGAGTTGCTTTGATTTAGCCCATGGGACTCTTGGAAGACTGCAGGTGAGAGAAGACAGGATGTTTCTGGCTCGTGGGTTTGATGTTGCTGCAGGCTTTCTGTACAAACTCCAGTTCTCAGCAAATATCCAAATCCAGGTTATTTGTTTCATAATCTAGTTTTGTTACAAGGAGAGATGTACATGTTATTCAATGAACAGATGACATGTTTTAGCTCCACCTTCCACTGCAGTCTGGGGAAAACAAAGATGCAGCAGGCAACATGAAAATAACTGTCTTCTCAGGCTCAGATCTCCAGCCTCCTGGAGAAGCGAAGAAAGCGTTTACAGGTTACATTGACTAGCTTTGGCTATGATCTGAAAATGCAGAATCCAACATGAATTCAGTAAGATTCTTCAGATGAATATGCTTCTATACTGTTGGGATTACAGGTGCTCCTTTCTGGTGTGGTAGTTGCATGCTTTGTTAGTTCCTTAAAATGCTCATTTCTGTCTTCAGTAAAAATATTGTGATTTTGATGCATGTGTCCATAGCACCCCCATCCTCATTTCCATCTACAATAAGCATTTGAGAAATTTCCACAAAGGTGTGCTCTCATCTGCACACTGTGAATTTACTGTTTGTTGTTCCTCACATTTGCAGAAAGGCAGCTGGAGAACATTGGGAGAATTAGCACCAGTGCTGGCAGAAGCACTTAATTTCGTGGGGCTCTTGCAACCCTTGCATCTCAGTGTCTCTAATGTGTCTCTAATCAGTTTAAACTTGATAGGGTTTCAGTGTTTTCATTTTCTAAATTGATTTATCAGCGTAAAAGGTACAGGTTGTCCTCTGCTGGGAACAAGTTTCCAAGCTTTTTAATCTTGCTATTTGTCAATGCAAAGAATAGTCTTGTCAATGTGAATCATCCTCTTTGTAGTTGTGCTGTTTCACTCATCTCCCCAGGTCTTTGACTGACTTCATATTCACTTCAGCTTGAAGTATCCTTATAGCTTCTCTCCTGTGTTGTTTAGGACAGCAGTTAGGCCACGAAGACCCTTTACTTGCCCACCTAAGTAAACGTATATGCAGTTTTCTCCCATGACCCTTCTCTTCTGCAACTCAGCCTAATCTGGTGCTAGAAGTGATTCACTCTTGTTCAGTTTGAAAACCACCTTCAGCAGGTCTGTGTGCTGTTACATCCCACCTCCTTCAGGAGCTGTGGTCCTTAATAAGCTGATGGTCCTTACCTCCACTTGCCAGGTGTGGCTCCAGGACACATCCCTCATACCTAGAGTGAATGGGGTTGCTGGGCTTGGGGCTTCAAAATGTGAATTGTTTTTTGGTTTCTGCAGGACCTTTTTAAGGCTAGCCACTTGTGATCTGGACTTGGAGATACCATGAATATGTTTCTTTTTGGTTTTCAGTTGTCTTCTGCCACATGTAAAAGCTGGCCTGCTCTTTCTCTTTGAATCTTTTCACAAACCGTGCTTTTTGATCATTGCCCTAACAATAGGACAGTCCTCTTGAAAACTTGACTTCCTAAATTTTATGTTAATCCCGTGGTCAGAAGGTCTGCTGAGGCACTCGGACATGCTAGAACGGTCTCCTTTTCCACTGGTTAGGGCCTGGCTTTGGAATGTGGTTTTAACACAGTTCACTGTGTCCTGACCAAGCAAATGGAGAAATTAAATTGGCTAATGCAGCTTTCCACAATGCTTGTTCCACAAACTTAGCTGAACAACCTCCAAATTACTGTTAGTTGCAACTGATTGCTGATGAGGAAGTACAGCAATGAGTTTTCAGAACTGAATGCATTTAATTTCCTTTCTTGTAACCATTTGTCTTCCAATATGTGTTTTTTGCAGTGATACTGAAAGCCGAAAATTATGCAAGAAGATGAAAGTAGATCCTAATTCAAAGGAGAAGGGAGTGGAATTACTCCATTATAAGTGAGTGTTGGGCTGGGATTTGTAGTTCCTAATTGTTGATGCCCCTGTTAGGACCATTCATTCTTGCAGCTCTGTACTGCTGCAGCATGAAAACTTATTTTGTATCCTTTGACATGTGACATTGATTGCTCTTTCTTCAGTTTGCAAGCATGTGTTGTGAAAAAAGTTGAGATAAATTTATTCTGCTGTTAGAGTACACTAAAAGCATGAGTGGGGCCTGGGAGAGACGTCCAATGGACTAAAACTACACGATGCACAGGGTTGATGACATTTCAGCTCTCTTTTATTCTCATGTGCCTTGGACAAGTCACTTCGCCTCTCTGCTTTTTTTCCTGACTTGAGAATAGTACTTTATAAAGTGGAGAAAGGCAAGCATAGTGAGACAGCAAGAAGTTTTCTTCCTGGAAATAATAGGAGTGGGAGTACTCTTGAGTGTAAGAGACACCAAGCAGCTGCATCTCCATCTCCAAAGATCACGCCTTAGTAAATATTCTTGTTAAAATGTCAGGGAGGAAATTATTTATTAGAAACCTGTTTGCTTTACACTCTGTTTTGCACCCTCCCTTTTTCCTAACTCTTTTTTCCCCTTTAGAATTTGCAGTACAGAAGTTTACTTAGTTTTATGGCTTCAGCAGAATCAAAGAAACATAAAC